GTATGCTTCCCGGGAAGCTGAGAATGTTTCTGAGTGTTCTATGGTCTGCTGGGGTAATAATATAGTGTAAAGTGCATAGAGCTTGCTGTTGAGCGGGGATATGCGCTCTACAAATGCTATTTATTATTATAATTATTGGTATCATCTTAAAGCCTGTTCATTTGCCCTCCTCTTGGTGAAAAAAATTGATATATGTTGAATAGAAGTCATAATATCTGCGATTGAAGGCGGGCAGGGTCGCCGGGTTTCAGAGGTAAAATTGTCGAGAAAATGGCCGCCAAAGTTTGGTAACTTCCATAGCCTAAGAGTCCTTGGAAACTGAAAATGTACATTTTTTGTGTCTTTCATCAATGTTTTTTAGTAAGATCTCCACGCTGATATGTGTTTTTAAATGGACATAAAAGGTGTTGAGCTAACAAAAAAAAAATGAAAAGAAAAAAATAGAAAAAAATTGCCCATCGCCAAAAAGATGCCGATTTCTTTGATTTCATTATTTTGACGAGCGCTTGATTTCACCACGATGTCTCACATAATATGTTGATGATGTGTGTGGGAAGTCGCCTTAATAACGCTGTGTTGAGATATGTGGAATGTGCTGACTAAATGAGTTACTTCTCGGATTAGGGCTCTATGGAAGTAGATACATCATGCTTAGAGGTGCAGTTTTTATCATTTGTAAGTATGAAATAGCAAAAGGCATTTACTACTTTATGAATATTGCATCAATTTCAAACCTAGAAATTTGACCCAAGTGTCGATTTTTGGTCAATATCTCCATTTGTGGATCGTGAGAAGTAACTCATTCTGTCAGCACGCCTCACCTATGCTTTCGCCACTTTCCTTGCAGGCCAAGACTAAGACGTCGTTTCTCTCTCTGATGAGGGTCACCAGCATTTTCCAGAGACGTCACGCTCAAGTGGTACGTGGGGCTCCTCCATTCCTGTCGAAGTTTTGTGGGTGGTTGGAGGGTGCTGTGGTGTGGTTTGCTGCTACTTTCCTGTCAAACATCTATCGTCCTTGTCTCTCCTTCTTTTTTATGTTTGTTACTCTCATGTAACACCTCTAATCTTCGACACTTATATGACCTTATTGTGTTGCATGTGCCGTAAAACTCTTATTAAAACTAAAATAGGAGGGTGCCGCTGGTAGGTCAAGCTTCTTTTCTTTCTCTCTGTTGTTTCTGTCTGCCTAGCTGTCTGTCTTTCTTTTTCCCCAGCTCCAGGTAGTGGAATCACTCAAACTAAAACTAAACTATGGCTCGTGGGCTAGATTCGGCCTGTGAATAGTTTCAGTGTGGCCCGCGGGTCGACCCAGTAATTAATAGCGAATGTGGCCCACGGGAGTTGATAATTAGCCCTATCCGTACGCCCTGGGGTCATTTTGTACCCCGGGGTTGTATTCTTCACATTTGAAAATACTTCAAGTATGAAGATCTCTTTGAAACTTTCAGTATTTCTCAAAAAATCATTTTGACAGACTGCTATGCAAAGCATACGGATCGGATTAACGAGTAAATTTCCTCTTTGGAAAGTGGTGGCACAGAGTTCCCCACACCATATGGATACAACAGTAAAACACGACGTACGGATAGGGTTAAGTGGTGGCACAGAGTTCCCCACATCGTATGGATACGATAGTAAAACACGACGTACGGATAGGGTTAAGTGGTGGCACAGAGTTCCCCACGTCGTATGGATACAATAGTAAAACACGACGTACGGATAGGGATAAGTGGTGGCACAGAGTTCCCCACGTCGTACGGATACGATAGTAAAACACTACGTACGGATAGGGTTAACAAGAACAAAACTGACTGTCTTGAAAAATCAAAATCCTTAGTTGCTGGCCCAGCTGGAAAGAGTCGATAGGATGTTTTATCTCATGAAGATATGACTTTGATCGGCCTATGCTGTAGTGTCAGTTTTAACTTAAGTCTCACTTTTGAGAGCTTGGATTTTCCAACGGAGTTCACCCAATGTTCTCCTGCTGTGGCCCGTGAGATATTCAGAATCGCTCAGTCCGGCCCGCGACTTTGACCCACTTACCCATGCCTGGTCTTGGGATTGTTGCCAGACAATTGACTGTAACACTTTGGCGCCTCATTTCGCTGATTGGCGATGTTTACCACCCAGTTTCTTTGGATTTTCCCCAAAATATGAAGGCAAAGTGTTAAATTTGACAACTGGAAATTAGAAGGTGATATTTCATGAGAAAATTGGACAATGAAAGTCTCACAAAAATGGCTTATCTATTTTTTTTTCAATAATAATGGTAAAAAAACCCTTCCATTTTGTTGATGTCATCATTCAGAAAACAGAGCTTGTTTTTCACAGCTTCTGTCTGCTCAAAAAGCCTCAATGTTGTATTACCCGGGTGTGTCCATCAAACAATCATCTTTTCTTTTGTAGTCTCTCTTGCTTCACTGGCATCTATGGGTTAGTAGTGAATGGGCACTTTATTGTCGTATACAGGAGTCCTGTGTTTGATTCCCAAATGGGGAGAATTTTTATAGAGTATCGAGTTTTTCAGTCTTTTTGCAAGGATACTGTATCTTTCTCAGCTTGGGTTGACCTTGACATCAGGGTCAAAGTCCATTTGCTAAATGATTTAAATTGTGTCAGGAAGGGCTTAAAAACGCCTTCATTTCTTTAACCCTCTCAGCATCATAAATACCACGAAGGGAAAAAGTAATTTTTACCCGACTAAAAATAGGACACACGCACGTCACGCACAAACATTTGCTCGAAGGAGAGGAAGCTCCTTTTTGCGTGGCGTGCAACACAGATTTCACAGTTCGGCACATCCTAATGGAATGTGTCGACTTTAATTATGTCCGTGATAAATATTTTAAATGTAAAGATATTAAGACCCTTTTTAACATCATAGAACCTAGAAGAATTTTAAGTTTTATAAAAGAAATTGGACTGTTTAATAAAATGTGAAAATATATAGTTGTCGTTGTCGGTGTATATATACATACACTGAGATTTGTATTGTATGTACAAATGTAAATAAGCCTTTTCCATATTTACAAAAATTTTTTATAAATGTTTGTTAGTCTTTTTAGCATAATAGAAATATTGTGATCGTTTGCGGTTGCGAGCTCCGAAAGACTCTTTATTAAAAACACGTCTGATTTGTAGCGGTGAAACCTGATGGCGCTTAAATGACCAAAATTGTGTCGATAGTGCCGTAAAACATCTACCCAATCAATCAATCAATCAGCATCATAAATAGGTCAACAGGTCACCACAGCAGAACAAAAATGGCAGCCAGCTGATGGCTTCTCAGAACCGAATTATTTCAGTATTTTTCAGAGGTTCAGGGGGTGTAGCGAAGAAATTGCTTTTGATCTAAGTGACGTGTTTAATGAAATTTCACATACGAAGACCTAGGATGCCATCATCTAAATTTAGAGTGGAATGTTCTCATTACTAAGCCTCACTAAAGGCGGGTGTGTCAGACCGGTAAAAGCCGGTATGGCTGTCCTGTGGGAAAGCCGGTAAAAGCCAGTGTGGCAACATGACGGGAATGCCAGTGAAGGCCGGTCTGGTTAAAAAAGGATTATATTTTAACGTTTGTTTCTTGTGCCTGGCCACCCCCTGGGGCGGTGCTACTGACTGAAGTGTCTTTAGGCCATTCCCAAAGGGGGGACATTAACCATGTTCTTATACACAGTAGAATTGTAAATGGGCTGACTCATGTCACGCTCATAACTGTGCCTGATCTACAACAGGGAACTGCTGCTTTTTCTTTCCTCATTCTTACTATCGTCATTTTTCCTCTACTTCTTTTGTATGTTTGTCACACTCTTGTGACCTGCTATTTCCGGGGTGCCTTGATAGTCGAAGCAGACCTTGTGCTGTTGAAGCTAGAGAGGTGAGCAGAGAAAGTCTGATTCCCTGTAAGGACTTTTCTGTTGGCATCCACCCCTTGGCGCTTGTATGACCTTATGCAGTTGCGAGCACCGTAAAACCTCTACTAAAATGAAACTATCTCGTGCTTGGCAGGACGGCATCTACAGGCTGTGCCTGTCCCCGTGCGGGACGACCTTGGTGGCCGTCCACTTCTCTGGGAAACTTTCCCTGTGGCAGGTCCCGTCTCTGCGTCTGGTCCGCGAGTTTTTGCTGGAGGATCAGGTTAGTCACCACATTGTCCCCACGTAGTTGCTTGTACCCTGAACAGGTTAGTCACCACATTGTCCCCATGTTAGTCACCACATTGTCTCCATGTTAGTCACCACATTGTCCCCATGTTAGTCACCACATTGTCCCCATGTTAGTCACCACATTGTCCCCATGTTAGTCACCACATTGTCTCCACGTTAGTCACCACATTGTCCCCATGTTAGTCACCACATTGTCCCCATGTTAGTCACCACATTGTCCCCGCGTTAGTCACCACATTGTCCCCGCGTTAGTCACCACATTGTCTCCATGTTAGTCACCACATTGTCCCCGCGTTAGTCACCACATTGTCCCCATGTTAGTCACCACATTGTCCCCGCGTTAGTCACCACATTGTCCCCGCGTTAGTCACCACATTGTCCCCATGTTAGTCACCACATTGTCCCCACGTTAGTCACCACATTGTCTCGACGTTAGTCACCACATTGTCCCCATGTTAGTCACCACATTGTCCCCATGTTAGTCACCACATTGTCCCCATGTTAGTCACCACATTGTCCCCACGTTAGTCACCACATTGTCCCCGCGTAGTTGCTTGTAACCTGTACAGGTTGGTCACCACATTTCTCTCATGTAGTTGCTTATAACCAGAACATGTGGGTGGTTGGCGGGTGCTCTGGTAGGGTTTGCTTCTTCTTTCCTATCAAACATCTATCGTCCTTATCTCTCCTCCTTCTTTTTTGTGTTTGTTACTCTCTTGTAAGACCTCTAATCTTCGGTACTTATATGGCCTTATTGTGTTGCAAGTGCCGTAAAACACTTACTAAAACTAAAGCAGAACATGTTAATCCCAACTTTGATGTCATGTAGTTGCTTGTACCGTGTAAAAAGAATGTTCAACACAAAAAATGTGAAGTGGTTGAACTCTTTGTCAGGTAGAATTCATTTCACTGAATTTTCTGGTCAGTCAAAATTAAATTGTGTGCCGTTATTCAGATTTTGTATCATCGCTAATTTGGGATCTTGATATATCTCCACATGTCGTTCACCATGCCAAAAAAAGTAACCATTGGCTACTTCAGGGAAGGAAATAGAGAGATTGAATGCAGAAAAAGCAGGTGTATTGCAGAGAGATTTGATTAAGAATCTTGATTTGGAAAGTGACATGGATCAAAATTTTAGGTGATGCAATGCGCTGCCATTAAGAAAATACACTTTGGAGCTTTGAATTCACACAAAGATAGAAAATATCATTGTGGTCATACATACATACCTAAATACATGTATAAACACATACTTAAATTCATACATAAACACATACATAAATACACGCATAAACACATGCATAAATACATTCATAAACACATACATAAACACATACGTAAATACATGCATAAACACATACATAAATACATGCATAAACACATGCATAAACACATACGTAAATACATGCATAAACACAAACATTAATACACAATATTACACCAGTACAGAATTGTTTCACAACCATGCCATTGATAGTCGCCACACTGTGCAGCGCCCTGTTTTTTTTTAGCTAGGGTTGTCGTGTCTTGCTCAAAGACACACCCCCAGTGACCACCCACCTAAACCCTGTGTCACCGACACTTGCTTGACATCACTTTTGAGTCTGAACTCACTGGTCACTTTACCACTCACTGTTGCTTGTGTGTGATATGAACTTATTTTGTAGAAGCTCGCTTTTTCTAATGTTTTGGCAAAAGTTATCGTAAGTATTGCTGCGTTGCCCCCCTTGTATCATAATGTTTTGTGTCGTAATGTTTTGTTTCATGTTTTGTGTCGTAATGTTTTGTTTCATAATGTTTTTGTGTCATTTCATTACAGCCAGATTGGGATGAAATCAGCCCAGATTTTATTGGAAATCCATCAAAGTCAAAGAGAATGAAAGGTATTTTTTGAAATATTATTTTGTAAATTGTTCATGCATATAAGCTTGTGGGTAGGCCGTTTATTCTTGATGGGCTGTCTGGGGGCTCTTGTGGCCTAGAGGTTATGGTGCTTGCCTCTCATTCAATAGGTCTGGGGTTCGAAACCCTACTTCAACGGAAAATTTTCATCTCTAAAATTTTCTCCTTTCACCTCTTTTCCTGTTCTTCTCTTCTTTCTGACCCCATCCCCACCCCCACCCTCCTTTGCCCCCCTCCTTTGGGCTCCTGACTCTTTCTGCAGCCTTTCTACTGCTACTCCTTGGCTCCTTCTTACTGCTGTTTTTCAGCGACATCCCTGATCTTAGGGTATGTAAGATCTAACACTTAGTCTTCTCGGATAAAGGTGAAAAGTCTCAGAGGTCTCATGTGCAAGTTGCACACGTTAAAGATCCCTTTGTGGTCCAAAATTGATAAGAGTAAGCTTTGGATGCCACTGGGGCAAAATTGAAAATTGATTCCTAGTAAACTGAAAATGTTTAATGGGTCTCGCGCGCTTATATGACCTTATGGGGTTGCGAGCGCCGTAAAACACTTGCTCAAACAATGGGCTGTCTGACTGTGCGGGCAAAAGACATAGGAATTGTGGGAAACAATGGACTGTCCCACTGTATGGGCAAAAGACATAGGAATTGTGGGAAACAATGGACTGTCCCACTGTATGGGCAAAAGACATAGGGATTGTGGGAAACAATGGACTGTCCCTTTGTCCTGGCAAAAGACCTAGGAATTGTCAAAAACAATGGGCTGTCCCACTGTACAGGCAAAAAGATATAGGAATTGTGGGAAAACTGATAAAATGTACCAAGCCAAGAGATCAAAATGTTCCCAAGAGAGATTTTTAAAAAAATCATTTTTTTAACAACTGTACCCACATTTTGTATTTTTACTTGCTTTTTTTCAACGTTTAAAATTTGAATTTCAACAAAATGTTTCTTGAGCACTTGCAACCAATACCACAGATTAAGAAACTGCAATTTCAAAATTTTTGGCTTAGTACACCCTCCCCCTCCCTCCCCCCCCTTCTCTCTCTCTCTCTCTCGCTCGCTCGTCAAAATCATGAAATTGAAGAAATCTGCATTTTTCGGCCCGTTTTGCAGTTTTTTCAATTAAAAAATAATTTTTTTTAGCTCAATACCTTTTATGACCATTTAAAAACACATTCATGTGTTAACTTGACTGAAAAACGTTGATTAAAGGCACAGAAAATGTCAATTTGCCGTTTCCAAGGACTCTTGAGAAAGGAAAGTCACCAAAGTTTGGTGGCTATTTTCTCGCTAATTGTACTTCTGAAATCAGGCGACGGCACCTTCTTCAATTGCAAATATATTGACTTTTATTCTGGATGTTGTTGTTGTTGTTGTTAGCGATCCAATAGCATCTGAGCGTTAACTCTTCTGCGTGATGCCATTCGGTAATAGTTGCATGTTTTTTATTCTGGATAAATGGGTATTTTTACATCAAACGCAAGGCAAAAGAACTATCTTTAAGTTTATGGTGATGCTGATAACTCCATATGCCCAAAAATTGGCGAGCGCCTGATTCCATCGCGTCATGACACATATCATTTCTCAAACTGAATATCTCGTTTTTTTTCTGCTGGTGTATAGAAAATGTTTTAGAGTGACATAACTGCAATTTGTTTCTGCAGTTGAAGATTCTTACTGAGAGGAAAAGTATTGTGGCTTTGTATAAATCTCTTTAGCGTGCACATTTCATCTAGTGGGGATGAACGTAGATCATGGAAATACAGTTTCAGTCCTGACTTATCATTGTTCTGGTCTTTTCCCAGATCTTGTCCCGCATAAACAGCTGATTGATGTGAACTTCTGGTCTGAGACGGTGAGTGGGTGGTTGGCGGGTGCTCTGGTGGTGGTGGTTTGCTCCTTCTTTCCTATCCAACATCTATCGTCCTTATCTCTCCTCCTTCTTTTCTATCCAATATCTATCGTCCTTATCTCTCCTCCTTCTTTTCTATCCAATATCTATCATCTTATCTCTCCTCCTTCTTTCCTATCCAACATCTATCGTCCTTATCTCTCCTCCTTCTTTTCTATCCAATATCTATCGTCCTTATCTCTCCTCCTTCTTTTCTATCCAATATCTATCGTCCTTATCTCTCCTCCTTCTTTTTTTATGTTTGTTACTCTCGTGTAAAAACCTCTAGTCTTCGGCACTTACGTGACCTTATTGTGTTGCAAGTGCCGTAAAACACTTACCGAAACAAAACCAAACAAAAGAGACGGTGAGTTGTCGTTGATCTGTCTTCTCGATCGCATCACACTTGAAGTCTGGTATCTGTCATAAATTGGGCCGTCCTGCTCAGTTCATCTGTCGGTCGCTAGTCTGTGTTACCGTAGTTTTAGTCAACACGCTGTTTTGAATGTTAACTCTTTCGATGCCAGGGGCCGTGCATTCCTCCTGTCAGCACGTCGTGTTCAATGTTAACTCTTTCGATGTCAGGGGGCGTGCATTCCTCCTGTCAGCACGTCGTGTTGAATGTTAACTCTTTTGATGTCAGGGGGCGTGCATTCCTCCTGTCAGCACGCTGTTTTGAATGTAAACCCTTTCGATGTCAGGGGGTGTGCATTCCTCCTGTCAGCACGTCGTGTTCAATGTTAACCCTTTTGATGTCAGGGGGTGTGCATTCCTCCTGTCAGCACGTCGTGTTGAATGTTAACCCTTTCGATGTCAGGGGGTGTGCATTCCTCCTGTCAGCACGTCGTGTTCAATGTTAACCCTTTTGATGTCAGGGGGTGTGCATTCCTCCTGTCAGCACGTCGTGTTAACTCTTTCGATGCCAGGGGGCGTGCATTCCTCCTGTCAGCACGTCGTGTTGAATGTTAACTCTTTTGATGTCAGGGGGCGTGCATTCCTCCTGTCAGCACGCTGTTTTGAATGTTAACCCTTTCGATGTCAGGGGGTGTGCATTCCTCCTGTCAGCGCTGAGTTGTAGCCAAGCTTGTTTGTCGGGGCTGCAGTCTCATCTGTCTCAGTGTCTGTGTCTGTGTGAGTGTCTGTGTCTGTGTCTGTGTTGGTGTGTCAGCATGTCTGTGTCAGTGTCAGTGTCTGTGTGTGTGTTAATGTCAGTGCCTGTAACTGTCTGTGTCTGTTTGTATCGGTGTCATTGTCAGTGTCACTAGTGTCAGTGTGTCAGCGTGTCAGTGTCTGTGTCTGTTTGTGTTGGTGTCAGTGTCAGTGTCTGTGTCTGTGTCAATATCAGTGTCAGTGTCGGTGTCAATGTCAGTGTCTGTGTCAGTGTCATTGTCTGTTGTGTCTGTGTCAGTGTCTGTGTCTGTCTCTGTTTGTGTTGGTGTCAGTGTCAGTGTCTGTGTCTGTCAGTGTGTCAGTGTCTGTGTCTGTGTCAATGTCAATGTCAGTGTCAGTGTTAGTGTCTGTGTCAGTGTCTGTGTCTGTGTCAATGTCAATGTCAGTGTCAGTGTCTGTGTCTGTGTCAATGTCAGTGTCAGTGTCTGTATCTGTGTCTGTGTCAGTGTCATTGTCATTGTCTGTTGTGTCTGTGTCAGTGTCATTGTCATTGTCTGTTGTGTCTGTGTCAGTGTCTGTGTCAGTGTCATTGTCTGTGTCTGTGTCAATGTCAGTGTCTGTGTCACTGTCTGTTGTGTCTGTGTCACTGTCTGTTGTGTTTGTGTCAGTGTCTGTGTCAGTGTCATTGTCTGTGTCTGTGTCAATGTCAGTGTCTGTGTCATTGTCTGTTGTGTCTGTGTCAGTGTCTGTGTCATTGTCTGTGTCAGTGTGTTGGCGTGTCGGTGTCATTGTCTGTGTCAGTGTGTCGGCGTGTCAGTGTCAATGTCAGTGAACTTGCTGTCTGGTTCTGACCCACTCATGACATATTTAGACCCCGGGTCTTCGATAGAGCCACCTTCCTCACCCCTGTATTCCTCAATATCCATATGATTTTGAACAACTTTCGAATCTTAAGTCGAAAAGTGCAATTTTCTACCCTTTTTGTCTGTCTTTTTGGTGTTAAACCTCAAATCCTTGTATGACCTACTTGTGTTGCAAGTGCTGTAAAACTATTACTAAAACTAAACTGAACCTCAAATCTTTGGTACTTATATGACCTATGTATGTTGCAAGTGCTGTCAAACTCTTGCTGTGGGTGGTTGGAGGGTGCTCTGATGTGATTTGCTCCTTCTTTCGTATCAAACATCTATTATCCTTATCTCCCCTCCTTTTCTGTGTTTGTTACTCTCTTGTAACACCTCTTATCTTCGGCACTTATATGTATGACCTTATAGTGTTGCAAGTGCCGTAAAACTCCTACTAAAAAAAAAAAAAGCAAAAACCCCCCCCCTTACTAAAACTAAGCTAAACCTCAAATCTATGGCACTTACATGACTGACCTATGTCTCCCCCAGCTGCTGATCCTGGCGCGCTGTACCGGTGCTGTGAGTGTCGTGTCGCCCGAGGAGCTGCGGAACCGCCTGGGCAAGTCACCCGAATGGTTCGAACCCTCACCTCAAGTCACGCAGGCGCAGAATGGGGGATTTCTGGGACTGGAAGTATGTTATTGTAATGTCCATTACCATTAGGCAAACCATCTCCTTACTATTGTCATTTTCCTCTACTTCTTTTGTATGTTTGTCACTCTCTTGTGACCCGCTATTTCCGGGGTGCCTTGATAGTCGAAGCAGACTTTGTGCTGTTGAAGCTAAAGAGGTGAGCAGAGTAAGTCTGATTCCCTGTAAAGACTTCTCTGTTGACACCCACCCCTCCCCTTGGCGCTCGTATGACCTTATGCAGTTGCGAGCGCCGTAAAACCCTCTACTATATAAAAAAAACAACCCATCTGTATTGCCTTATAGTAATTAGGAAACCTGGCAACTGGTAACCAAGCCGCGTAAGTGGTTACGTCATTGTTGTCTTAGATACAATCGGCATAGAATTTAGAGAGGAGAATTTTCCCGAAAAGCTGAGAATGTTTCGGAGTGTTCTATGGTCTGCTGGGGTAATAATATAGTGTCAAGCGCATAGAGCCTGCTGTTGAGCGGGGATATGCGCTATACAAATGCTATCTATTGTTATAATTATTATTTTTTCCGTAATAAAGCATACAGTCGTGTCTGGCTCCTGTTGCTTTCAATGTCTGTCTAGATCTAGATGTTGTGATTGTGATATCCCGACAGTACACTTATCAATGTGTCTTTTTTTGTTGTTGTTGTTGTTGTTTCTTTCTTTTTCCCCCTCGGTGGGTGGTTGGCGGGTGCTCTGGTGTGGTTTGCTCCTTCTTTCCTATCAAATATCTATCGTCCTTATCTCCCCATCTCCTTTTTTAAGTTTGTTACTCTCTTGTAACACCTCTAATCTTCTGGCGCTCATATGACCTTATGCAGTTGTGAGCGCCGTAAAACCTCTACTAAAACACAAAAAAATGACCTAGTGGTTAAGCCACCAGACTCGTCGTGAGGTTGCGGGTTCGGGGGTTCGATGTTGTGTCCTTGGGAAAGGCACTTAATACAAGTTTTCCTCACTTCACCCAGGTGAGAATGGGCACCTGGCCACAGACAGCAAAAGATCTTGTCAGTATGTCCAATGTTTTAGCACTTGTAAAAATGGCAGCTTGCACTGTATGCTTCCCATTCTATCATTCGTATCTCTCTTCCTTCTTTCCTTTGTATGTTATTCTCTAGTAACACCTCAAATCTTTGGCACTTTTATGATCATGACCTATTTGTTTGCTCTTTCTTTCCTATAAAACATCTATCATTCATATCTCTCTTCCTTCTTTCCTTTGTTTGTTACTCTCTTGTATCCGACGTTGTGTCCTTGGGAAAGGCACTTTACACGAACTTCCCACTTGGCTCGGTCCTATCGGAGACGGACGTTAAACTAGGAGGTCCCGCCCCGTAAATAACCTAATAGTGTTGATAGGGGCGTTAAACCGATACCATTTCACCATTTACTCTCTTGTAACCCCTCAAATCTTTGGCACTTTTATGACCTTTTTGTGTTGCAAGTGCCGTAAAACTCTTATTACGACTGTCCTTTTCCCCTCCAGTGTGAGGTGCGTTTCCCCAAGAAGAGAATCGGTCTGCTGACAGAGGGGGAGGAGGAGGAGGAGGAGGACAGCGAAGACGAAGACGTGTCCCTGGTGGCCCAAGGCACCCTCATGACCAAGCAGGTCCTCTTCTACCTCACTGACAGCGAGAGGTTCCAGCCTCCCAAGAAAAAACCCAGGTTTGCCTCATGCTATATTTGGTCGCTTTTAAGGACAAGCGGGCTAACCCGGATTTTGGGGGTTTCCAGAAATCTTGACCTACACCAAAAAGTGGGCATTGTCCTAGCTATAGGAGAAGTTTGGTTTCACTGGTGTGTATATTTGGTTATAGAGAAAACTCTCCTTGTCTTTTAAAGAATCTGAACAGGGGTCCAAAAACTTTACCTTAGATTTTCTCAAAACAGTGGTTTTCGGGATAGCCCCCTTGTGCTTGAAAGCGACCATTGAGACTGTCCTTTTTCCCGTCCAGTGTGAGGTGCGTTTCCCCAAGAAGAGAATCGGTTTGCTGACAGCTATCGTGCCAGAACCCGTCTGCTGTGACATTTCAGTAACCCACTTTCAGCACTTTTTAAGGACCCCCGGGCAAGTGTTGAGTTCC